TTTATATTCGGTGGCAACTATGGGCCACCATAATAATTTACCTGTACGTCTTACAGATTTCACTTGCTCTTGGAAATATTATATATTCTTGCTTATGCTTTAGTGAGTAATTGTGTATTACTTCCATAACATGCAAGTATTCAATGAGATGCACATGTTTAATATATATGTCACCTGTGATTGCCCTTTAACTCCTGGTCTTGGCAACAAATGCATTGCTTTTTCTCATGGCATGAATCGATTCCATATACTTAAGCTCCGGCCACAGTGCTCACCAGTCGCTGGCTCGTTGCGAGCAATAACTGTGCAGTTGTGCTTCATATAATTTGTACAGTACTATTTAGTTCTATTTGCTTTTAATGCCCGCAGCAATCCCTACCTTGCAGGTACCCTAGTTTGAAAATATATTGATAAAAATGTTAGCTGTTTCACTCACAAAGGCATTTAAAAATGGTGTAAATAATTGACTAAATTAGTACTCATTTTATTCTTGCCGTTTAATGTGATGTCAAAAGACCTATTGTGTAGAATATAATGGTTCTAAGAATAAGCTATTACTCATCATATATTACAGTAATTACAGTATTAAACAAAATAGTACGGAGTAATATTATTTGGCAAAGTTCAATTTTTCTGCTTGCTGATTGGACAAAACCGTATCACATGCACACAGTACAAATATAAGTACTTGCACTATAGGAGGGTCTAGATGGACGGGGTCTAAAAAATTTTTGTATTTTAAGGTAATTCCGCAGTAATTGTTCTCGAAATGAGAATGTGCTGAAACTTCCCAGGCATGGAGTTTATGATATACTTAAAGTAAAATCACACAAAAAAGTCGGCGTCACCGAACTCGTTAAGAAGATATGCCAATCACAATATACCACCTTTACCCCAATATGGCGCCATCTTGACGCTCATTACGAGTAACAGCAAAATCACAACAGCCCGATATTTATTGACGTTTTTAGCGCGGATTTTGCTTTAGTAAACATATCTTGTAATTATTTTTGAAAAAATATTGTGTTTTGAGCAAAATGAAACTACTAACGTGTACAATTCTGATCTATAAATGTCTTTTGCACATTTCTTTACATATCTTTCTTGGATAACATGCATTGATAAAGGATTTTTTTTTCAAGATCCAAAAATGATTTTTCTTTTAATTTCGGATATGAAATGTAAAATGCATTAAAGAAATAAATTATCAGTTAAAAAACGGGGGTCACCGACCTTTTTAGGGAATTGTGGCATTAAAACGTGAAATACAAGTAAATAAATATAGTACAGACACAGAAACCCTAGCTACACTTTTGTATGCCTTTTTTGAAAACATTGATTTTAACGTAATTCTTTGCACGAATGTAACCAAAGATGTTTTGAAGTAACATAAAATTGTTATAAAATGATATTTTGTTTTAAACGGTACGTATAACGTATGGAATTATAAGTTATAAGATGTGCGCAGTAAAAGTGCGCAAAACTGCGGAATTACCTTAACGGTAAATCTTTGAAAAGTGTTCTGAAACGATATACAGTATTTTTTCATAACGCTTCACGGTAAATTTTAGTGTTTTCACGACTGACGGTAAGCAAAATTGAGTGAATCACGACTGACGATATACCCCATCAACACCCTCCTATACCAAGGCAAAGAAAGCCACAATTTTGTTTAACAGTGACAGTGTGCATGTACATGCAAAGCTATTCGTTAATGCTATTTCCAATGAATAAAATTATTAAAGCTTATATTAAGATGGGAGCATTTTTGTTTTGACAATGTATTTTGAATATCCTAGCACTATTCACCTCCGATCCATAATTGTTCATTGTTTTCTAGTTGAGTCGGTTTTCTTTGATGTACCGCGGGATGTATACAGGTTATAACCCATGAATAAATAATTAGATTAAACTTGTCGACAAAACTCGAATAATCTTTATGGATAGTCTTTGAAATTGATGAAATCTTGTTCGAAAACCTGCTAACTAGAAAATAAGTCGGTTATAAACCTCGAACTTGGGATACAAATCATATATTTGCCCTTGGGCCCGGCGGCCCTTCCGGTTTATAACTCTTACTTATAACGATTGCTCTAATAGATCCCCCTCAATCATAATGTAGTCTCGCATAACAAGTTTGTCTCAGTCTAAAGCTGACGAGGATCGATTCTTCATTATGTCCAAATCAGATGAAGTACCTTCACCAGGATAAATTTGAAAAAAAAGGTATAAGCATTGGAACAATAACTTAAGAGGTATAAGCATTGGAGAGAGGTATAAGCATTGGAACAATAACTTAGACATTGTAGAAGTTTCCTAACCATGTACGTTCATTGACAATTGATTAACAAAGAAGGTTTGATCCTTGATTATCTTTGTTTAAATCAGGTACAATCTCTGGACCATTGTACTGTTGGTCATCTGCTGTTGCTGGTGGTGGTTGTGACAATGGTTGGTTCTCGGTTGGACCTCTCATGGTTTCCATTTCCACAAATTCGTCATGTTCTCTGGGGCGACGAGGGATGCGACATCTTTTATTAATTCTGTGACAATACCATGCCAATCCTGCGACGAGTAGAAGTAATATCAGAGCAATTGTGATTCCAATAACCATAGCTAGGTTTATCCTGCCTTGCTCAGATAAATCACCTATGAGATAAAGAAAAAAATGACATGACACAGGTTTGTCAAACATTAAGGGACCGGTCATTATTTATGACGGCGGGTGGCACCGAAGAGAAATGTTTTCCGTGTCAAAAATTTTGCTGACCCAACCATTAAAAAGACAAAATTTTGATTACCCAACCTCAAATATCAATTAAAAATAACTACCCACCCCTGGCCAAAAACTTAACAAAAGGATACCATTCAGTTTTCATACATGTCCTTTATCACTTCAGTGACATGAGTTTCATAACGGCTTGTGAAATTTTCTGCAGTCTAAAGTTTCTTGTTGTCTGCTGCACATGTACTTTCTTTGGAAACACAATTGATTTGTTTTGTCAAAATGATCAAGATAGTGACTCTGATTGATTCACATATTGTATTGACAAACGATTGTTGACATTGCTTTTCAGTTTTCAGTCTCCAATATTTCAGGGTCATGCTTTGGAAATGAGAATAAATTTTTATTACCCAACCCTTCAGTTGTTTTGTTTTTCATTTACCCAACCTTTTACTCACATTAAATTTTGTTTACCCAACCCTTTTCTCTTCGGTGCCACCCCCTGCCATAAATAATGACCACTCCCTAATGGCAAAGAAATGCTAGGAAATGGCAAATAGTAAAACGTCAAAAATATAGGAAAAATAAAGGGAGAGTAAAGGGAGTATAAAACTTAGAAAGGTTGTCCTACTTTCACATAGCCCGCGTGCAGGCCCAAGGGAAGGGTCTGCACGCGGGCTAACTTTCACATGTATGTGGTTGCTTACTTTCACAGAAAGTTCCATTCCCCTTGAATCCAGTTTTACAACGGCAAATGTATGATCCAGGAGTATCCAAACAGTCTGTATTTACATGACATGAAACATTTAAACACTCATCAATATCTGAAAGAAAATGAAAAAAAAGTTGTAAAAAGAAGAAAACTAAAAAACCAGATTGCATGCAGTTGTTTCACACTTACTTGTACAGTTTGAAATTCCATTGCCAGAAAACCCAGGATTACATTGACAGTCAAAGGAACCCTCATTGTCAGTACAGCTGGCATTGACATGGCAAGGTTTGCTCAAACATTCATCAATGTCTAGAAAACAAGAAAAATATACCAATCACGATAATAATTCACTGGTACATTGATCTCAATCAACAGAATCGTATAAACATTGTGAAGTGAAATCAGTTTTTGCTGACTGTACTCTTTCAAACCATATATATGTAGTGCTCACTTGTACAAGTCGCTCCATTTCCAGAAAACCCGACATTACATAAACAGTCGTAAGAACCGTCAGTGTCAGTACAATTGGCATCGTGATGGCATGGGCTGGTCAAACATTCATTGATGTCTAGAAAAAGAAATGTATCAATTAGCAGAAAGTTACAAAATTTTAGACACATGAGTGAAAAATTTACTTACTTGAACAATTCAATCCATTTCCAGAAAACCCAACATTGCATTGACAGTCAAAAGAACCTTCAGTATCAGTACAGCTGGCATTGGGATGACATGGGCTGGTCAAACATTCATTGACGTCTAAAAAAAGAAATGTATTAATTTAGCGGAAAGTTACAAAATTATAGACACAGCATGAATAAAAGATTTACTTACTAAAACAATTCAATCCATTTCCAGAAAACCCAACATTGCATTGACAGTCAAAAGAACCTTCAGTATCAGTACAGCTGGCATTGGGATGACATGGGCTGGTCAAACATTCATTGACGTCTAAAAAAAGAAATGTATTAATTTAGCGGAAAGTTACAAAATTATAGACACAGCATGAATAAAAGATTTACTTACTAAAACAATTCAATCCATTTCCAGAAAACCCAACATTGCATTGACAGTCAAAAGAACCTTCAGTATCAGTACAGCTGGCATTGGGATGACATGGGCTGGTCAAACATTCATTGACGTCTAAAAAAAGAAATGTATTAATTTAGCGGAAAGTTACAAAATTATAGACACAGCATGAATAAAAGATTTACTTACTAAAACAATTCAATCCATTTCCAGAAAACCCAACATTGCATTGACAGTCAAAAGAACCTTCAGTATCAGTACAGCTGGCATTGGGATGACATGGGCTGGTCAAACATTCATTGACGTCTAAAAAAAGAAATGTATTAATTTAGCGGAAAGTTACAAAATTATAGACACAGCATGAATAAAAGATTTACTTACTA